TCCCAGCCAGCCCATCCAATCCTAAACGCCTGAGGACCTGTTTTGCTAAAGGTGTTTCCAAAATGCTTCTTGCATTTTTCAAACACCAGCTTTGATCATTTGTCTGGCACTCCCTGAAGCGATGGCTTCACCATTCCTTGCAGGCTTGTTCATCTTTAAAAAATGCTAGTGATATCAGTGGCTGGGTTTATGCAATTTGTTGAGCCATTAAATTGTGGTTTCAGTAAGCCATCACGGCCTGGTATAGTTTTAAGCCATGAGTTATGATTTATTGGTTACAGAGATTGGTTCCAAATATCATTAACAAGCTGCAATGCAAAAAATAATAATAATTGTGGCTCAGATAAGTTGCTCAGCATCTGTTCAGTCGCCTTAAACCATGAGATGGGTAGCAAATAAATTTGATAATAATAGTCCTTGGGAAGGACTCCACAGGTGAATAAAAATGCCAAGTCTAGTCTGAACATCTGGCTGACTGTGCAATGAACCATAATAATAATCAGCTCAGTGATCAAAGCTACAAGGGACAAAAGTGTAAATTTGTTTAAACATTCAGTTTAATGTAAATGTGTAAGAAAACATTTTGGGGACACTGAATTAAAGCCATGCTGGATTTATCTGGTGGGAATGCCAGGTTGGGACTACAGTTGTGATGTGTTTGTGATAAATTAGAACATCTTTAGGACAACATATCCTAACCTTCCGTGACTTTTCATACTGTACAAATGTTCAGCCAAAATAAACACACACCACATGCAGCAAAGCAAATCGATTTTTAAAAATAACACATGCTAGAATTTTCACCATGGCCTTCTTATATTGTTTTCTAATTGCACAACACTTGCACAGTTCCACAAATGTAGCTTATTCAAAATAACTTACACAACTTTCTTCCCTAAACAGAAGATCATGGGAGACAAATGAACAACACTATATTCCTTACCGAAGAAATAGCAAAACCTGGACAATGGGAATAGTCAGGCAGGGTAAGGATAATGTGTGTTTGTTTGTTTAAACACCTGGGAAAATAAAATAAAAAAAGATCAGAGGAAGGGCCAGGTGAGACTTTGTGGGGAAAACTTCTCACAGAATCACTTCTGAGAAAGCTGTTCCTTCCATTGACACACCCCAATCCAGAGAACCTCCAAGCATGATCTCAGCATGTTAAAAAGTCCCAGTGTGATTTTTTAGATATCGAAACTTGAAACTGGATGTGGTTTTGAAAGCGCCAGATCTTTAAGTTACACTTAGATAAAGATGGGAACAAAATCATTTAATGAGGAAAACAGGTTCCTAAAGTACAGTCCCAGCTAAACTCAACCAATCTAAAAATCGTTTTAATTATTTTACCTGTTTGGAGGCCGCCCTATAAATATGTTTTCTCCAAGGCAGCTAACAAGTCTTTAATTTAAAAAAAAAATCCTATGGATTTCAATAGGTCTGGTAGATTTAAGGGAGGCAAAATCTAGATCAAAGTGCTGAAATCTAAGCAATTTAAATTACTTCGATTAGACTGAAATCTAAAAACTAAGTGCTGAGCTTCAAAACTGTGCAAGGGGTCAGCACTGACAGTAGGGATTAACATTTTCAGCTTTTCATCCCGCTTCTCCAAGAACAGTCATATTGATCCCAAGAATGTGTGCCTACGTGTGTGTGTGTGTGTGTGTGTGTGTGTGTGTGTGTGTTCGTGAGCATGTTCACCCATCATTCCAAGGCATAGAAAAGGCTGCAAATTTGGGAGGGGAAATCTAATATCAGATTTCTATTCCTGTTCTCCCATCTGCTTCCAAGCGCAGCTGCTTCCATGCCAGCGGCAACCCTGCAGTGGGTCACCAAGACAAAATAACGACATGTGTATAGTGTCATCATCACACGGATCTTGCCCTTATATCCTTCGCCCGTGACATTTGATGCACGTACAGGTGGTGGTATTTGCTTCCCAGCAGTTTCTGTAACTTGTGTCTAGATAAGGGAAGCTGAACAACTGGAAAGGGGTGGGCAGAAGGAAAAGATTCAAAGCTCAAGCAACTTGCCCCGATAACCTCAATCCCTGTAAAAAAATATTTCTCTTTTGCTAGCAAGGGGATAGAAAGAAATATTAAGGGTCATAATTTGAGAGGCACTCTACACAGGTTGCCCTCAACTTACGTCCACAATGGAGCCTAAAATTTATGTTGCTAAGTGAGGCATTTGTTAAGTGAGTTTTACCCCATTTTACCACCTTTCTTGCTACAGTTGTAAAGTGAGTCATTATCACTGTTAAGTTAGTAACATGGCTGTTAAGTGAATCCGGCTTCCCCATTGACTTTATTCCTCAGAAGGTTGCAAAAGGGGATCGCAAAAACTATCATAAATCTGAAGCAATTGCCAAGTATCTGAATTTTGATCACGTGAACATGGGGATGTTGCAACGTAAGTGGAGGACGACTTGCACCAGCGTTTCTCAAGCTCAACCAGTTTGAGATCCGTGGACTTCAACTCCCAGAATTCCACAGCCAGCCATGCCGATTGGGGAATTCTGGGAGTGGAATGTCTATGGAGATTGTTTCCGGGATCTCCGCACATTGTTGCAACTCTACCAGTTGCTGAGCTTGAAAAAAAAAAACACCACAGTGTGATTCAAAATTTGTTTGAATCAATGTAATCCCTGGATAGCTAATATTTTGGAGATCAAACACAGTTTCTCCCATCAACAGTGATGGATACTGGCTGACTGATGAATGAGCCGATGTCATTTCCTCCAAAGCTGCAGTCAGCAGGACTGTTTCTACCCCACTGACTTACTGAGGTGTGATCACTGGATGAGCCAACAATCACACTTCAGTAAGTCAGTGGGGTAGAAACAATTGTACTAGTTGAAGAAGGAAAATCCTCCTATTTCCTGGAACAGCCATTGGTTGCAACTGCAGCAAAGGAGACTGTGATTCCAGGGTAACTTGGCTCACGCTAAATCTGCATGTGACGGAGGGAAAAAAAACCTCGCCAGTTTCACAGCTTGTGCTTCTCTTTATTTACTTGTTTGTTATGCAGTCTTGTTGCCTCTGCCTGCACTTGACCTCTTCTTCAATAGAGTAAACACAGTTGTGCTCACACTGTCAAAGGTCAAAAGCCAACAAGCCAAAAAGGCAAACTATTAAATATTGATGTGGTGGTGCAATAGCTGCATGGTTGTCTGTTTATTTATAAATGTATTAAGTAGCTATGCTGCCCATTGGTCTAGAAATTCTGTGCAGTTTACATCATCAAACAAACATACAAAACATTAAATATTAAAATAAACAGAAATTAAATAAGTTAACAACCAGAACGGGACGGGGTAGAAGTAGAATCTTCTTCCTAGTCCACTAATCTCCACCAGTCTGAAACGCCTATTGGGGTCCCTGGCTAACTGGCAGAGCTGTGTTTTGAGGGCAAAAGGGGACAGTAAAGAATGAGGTGGCTGGATGGAGCCACTGAAGAAGTCGCCTTGAGCTTAAATGGACTCCGGGGATGGTAGAGGACAGGAAGGCCTGGAGGAACGTTATCCATGGGGTCACGATGGGTTGGACACAACTTCAAGACAAGCAATAACAACAAAATATTTGAAACCCTTTCAAAAGGCCAGGAGGATGGAGCAGAACTTGGCGGGGGCATGATGTTCCAGGCAGAGGGTGGTAGTTGTAGCCAGAAAGTTTCTTCTTCTAGAGCAGGCGTCTGCAACCTAAGGCTCTGGAGCCACATGGGGCTCTTTTGGTCCTCTGCTGCGGCTCGTTGGCTGATCCCACCCTTGGCTGGCCTTTCCCCTCCCCGTCACTCCTGGGCTGGCCTGAGAAGGCAAGGGTGATGGCGGAGGATGGAGACTCTCTCCATATTCCATAGCAGGAGGTGACTGGGTGGGAGGGAGTGATGTGGAGTTGGCCACGCCCACCCAGTCACACCAGTTGTTAAATTATTGGCTCCCCTGTTTTCTTTTTCGTAGGAAACGGGTCCAAATGGCTCTTAGAAGGTTTCAGGCCCCTGTCCTAGAGTCTCCCCAGAATTCATGACTGTGGGAGATTCACAGCATGGCCTTTCTGCCAGAATGAACAGGGTGGGCCTCTCACTCATCACATGTCCTAGATCCATGCCACGAAAGGCTTTAAAGGGCCAACACCTCAAACTGGTGACACTGCAGCCCAGACAACAGTGCCTTCCTTCCATGGGGCACCCTAGGGGACCCCTAAAACTTTCTGCTCTGCTGCGTTTTGTGCTAGCTGTATCTTCTGAATACTGTTAAAATTGGATAGAACCGTTGCAGCAGTCCAAACGCTGAGATGACCAGGGCATCAGTGACTAAGGGCGTTTTTGAGGGGCCAAAAATAAATACCTCCCTCCAATAATGAAGAGGAAAAGGCCACCGTCTGTGAGCATCCGTTTAAAGGGAAACCGACGCTTTCTTTTCAAAAGAGCCACAGAAATTGCAAAGTCCACTCTGGGGGACACGTTAGGGACCACTCAGGCCACTGCAGTCTCGGCACCTTTGGCCGCTGGCGCCTCCCGCAGACTTTGTGCCCGCTGCGCAGCGGGCAGGCGTGTCTGACGGCGGCGCGCCCTCAGCCGCGCGCTCCCTACTCCAGACTAGCAACCCGGGGGAGGGGGTGGGGGGAGGACACACGTGTGGCTTCGTCCTCGTGGGTCAACCACCCTTGCCCAATGCAGAGACCTCCGGAGGGATTGGGGACAGCGCTGGATACCGCGGCTGCCCAGCACCTCCGGTGGATTCCTTCCAGATCTGGCCCCGCTGCCGAGGAGTACCCGGGCTGCGCAGCACAGCGGCCGGAGTGGCCGAAGGGCGTCCTTCAAGCGGCTGCTCGGCGGAGGTGTCCGGCGGCCTTGGCTGCAGGGAGAGGCACGGAAGGCGCCGAGGGGCGTGTGCGCGCATTGTGCCAGGGCTGGCCGGGAGAAAGTTGCCTTTTATGAGCGTGCACTTCCTGTTAGCTGCCTCTCCGCCTCCTCGGCGGCTCGAAATATATTTACACACACAGGTTTGCGCCTCCCTCTCTGGGCAGGGTTTCCTCGCTTTTTCCTCCGCGCTTCTTTTCCTCTTGTTTGTGCCGAGGCGGCTGTCAGATTCGCCTCTTGCACGCCCGAAAGCGGCTGGTGCAGGAGCCGCTGAGCGCCTTTGCGCTCCCCTCTCGCGTTTGCCTGCCAGCTGCAGCCACTTTGCCCGGGAACCCGCCGACCTTTCAAGGAGGATTGCAACGCCCTTGCCCCGCGCCTGCTGAAGAAGGGGGCGCGCGATCTGCAGCCTAGCCCCGCGGGGGCTCGGGCTGCCGTTTGCACGCCCTCCTTGCACCCCCTTTTGCACGAGGCGCCTTCTGGCGTTTTTCCTGTGCGCGCGCGCGGGGACTCCAGGAAGATGCCTGTCTGGAAACTTTAAGCAGCGTCAGGGAAATTGTGGCGGATTCTGACCGGGCAGCAACCTTGGTGTCCCTCTAGTGGGATCGCGTTGTTACTCCGCCGGGGCATCCGGGGCTCGAGCTGGCGGACGATGAACCGAGGCTTCGTTGGCCTCTTCTCAGACCCATCTCTCGGCCTCCGAAGCCCGAGCAACGGCCAGCAAACTTCCTTAGTCTTTTGATAGCTTTCTGCTCACGTCCCTCCCCTCCCCGCGGCTCTCTCCAACCCAGGGAAACCGAGCTTTTGCAGGCAAGTGGAATTGGCCGTAGGAAACCGGCCGGCAGCTTCTGTTCGCATCCCTGCGATGGGAAGTAAGGTCATGGATGCCAAGAAGAAGGATGCCTCGTCTGGTAAGAAGAAGGACGCTGGACAGAAGAGACGCATGCTGCGCGTTCACATCCCCGTAAGTCTTGCTTTGCTGGCTGCGTTCAGCGGACAAGGTTAGCAGCAGCTCTCCGCGTTTGTTCCGTTCTCACGGTATTCAGATCCGCAGAGGGGTCTGCGCAGACCGCAGGTTAAATCTGATTGGCTAGTGGCTGCTGAGTCGTGGGAACGCAACCCTGCTCTGTCCCCGAGCCTGGGCAAGGAGTTGGAAGTTGTTCTTTTGAACGCTTCCCCAGATCTCCTGGGCAGAGTGCAGCGTGAAATCTCATTTTTTTTTTTGGCAGCAGCAGCAGCAGTAACAACAGGTTGGGGGTGGGGCAGAGAAAGGAATGTGCACCAGCCTGTCACTTAACAGGGATGTTGGGGATGCGATGGGGGGGGGGGGGGGGGAGGGAAAGGGTGTGAGAGCAAGGCAAAGGATCCATGAAGCTGTCATGTTTTGGAAGAAGCCTTCAAAATTGTTTTGCTTCTCTTTGTCCTCGACTTGCAACAGTTCCTTTAACGGCCATTCAAAGTTACCACGGCACTGTTGAGCGGCGAGGGTGGTCTTGCTGGCCTCGCACTGCCCCTTCCAGGTCTTGAGTTCTTGGTCCTAGGTCAGTTTCCATAAAGTTGGAGCCTGCAGCAGCATCTCAGAAAGATGGTTTGTCTTTGTAGGACCGGGAGATATGACCTCAGTTTAAAGTGCTATGACACTCCTGCATATACACACAAGCATGCACACACATGGACACATCAATGCACAGCCACACAGGTAGGCAGAGGGTTCCACACACGTTTAAACCACTTTTCGACCTGATTGGAGACTTCTAATGATGACCTCACTCTGTTGAATTAAACATTAAAATTCTGTTTGTCTTCCTGGAGGGTGCCTTGACATTCATACAATCCCAGTAGAAGGGATTCAGAAATAGTTTTAAAATGGGCTGGAAGAGGAAAGTACTGTACCTATAAGACAGGGGGGCGGGGAAAAATCTTTAAAACGCATTTTTAATTTTGGATAGGAAGCAAGGCATTAGCAATATTTTATCTTAACAGTGCCTGCCCTGCACCCTGTTTGCAAACTAAGGTGCCTTTCGGGAACGTTGAGCTTTTTTGCGAAGGTATGCAGAGCCTGGCAGGGCCTTTAAAAATTGAAGGGGTCTTTAAAAGCCTTCAAAAGACTTGCTTGGAAAACAGATCTGAAGGTGATAAGCAGGTTAGCCACTGAAGGAGCCCTACAACTGTTCTTTCTGCTTGCATGTTGTAAAGCAGGATCAAATATCCTATAGTTTGCTGTTTCTTCCACGGTACATCAGATCTTGAGGATCACATCGAAACATGTCCAAATGGATCCGAATCCCTGGATCGCACAGGTCCATGATGGTGAGCCTATAGCATATGTGCCAGAGGTGGTACACAGCGCCCCCCTCTGAAGGCACATGAGCCATTGGTTCAGCTTTGACGCACGTGTGTGTGCCTCCCACCAGCCAGCTGGCCTCCAGGTCTCTGCTGTGCATGCACGGAGGGGCGGGCGCACGCACGGAAGTCGTGCACAAGTGGAGGTGGCAGGGCACATGCATGGGGCACGCATTGCATTTTGCGGGTTTGGGGATGTGTGTGCATTTGCTTGCACATGTGCTTTGGGCACTCTGTTCAGAAAAGGTTAGCCATCACTGGCATAGGTGGTTGAGGGACAGCTGGATCATAAGAATGGGTTTAGGACAGAGGTGGCATTCAGCAGGTCCTGACCAGTTCTAGGGAACCAGTAGTAGAAATTTTGAGTCGTTCAGAGAACTGGCCAACTTCACCTCTGACTGGCCCCGCCCCAATCTATTCTCCGCCTCCCATTGAGTCCCAGCTGATTGGCTGGGTCTCCTTTGGTTGCCCTGCACAGGAGAATGGAGCTGTAAAGCAGGTTAGTGGGGTGGGGAGGGAATGGGGATTTTGCAGTAACCTTCCCCCAGGAATGGGGAGGGAATGGGGATTTTGCAGTATCCTTCTCCTGCCACGCCCACTGAGCCACGCCCACCAAGCCACACCCACAGAATCAGGTAGTAAAATTTTTTTGAATGTCACTACTGGTCTAGGATCTCTAATAGATGAACTCACACCGAAGAGCCCAAGGCAGAGTGGGTAACTATGCTAACTCTAGGACCTGTGGACTTCAACTCCCAGAATCTCTGTGCCAGCTGAGCCATCATGGGAATTCTGGGAGTTGAAGTCCATAGGTCATAAATTTGCCATAGCTGCCCCATCGCTGGCCTTACAGAAGAAGTGACAGCGCATGGATTGAAGATAATGGACGTTTCAGGTTGCAAAGCTCTCCCCAGTCTGAACTGTTTTTATCAGTAGATAGGAAGATAAGCAGGAAAAATGGGTAGTAGGCCTTCTTTTAGGGACTTCTCTATAGCTGGGCCTCAACTTACAACCATTTGTTTAGTGACTGTTCGAAGTAACAAAGGCAGTGAAGCACTGTTATAGCATCCTCAGCACCACGTAATGAAAATTCAAGGACTTGACAACTGGTATGTATTTACAATAATTGCAGCATCCCAGGGTCATGTGATTTGCCAATTGTGACCTTCCCAGCCAGTTTCAGAGAAGCAAAGTCAATAGGGAAAGCTGGATTTGCTTAACAACCATGTGATTCGTTTACCAATTGCAACGATTCATTTAACAACAATTGTCGCAAAAGATGTAAAATTGGGTGTTACTCATATAACAACCACCTTGCTTAGGAACAAATTTTTTTGGTCCCTATTGTGGTTGTGAGTTGGGGATTACCTGTGCTCCAGGCTTGTAGTCGAAAAACAATTTATCATCCTCATCTTTGTTATCCCTCATTCGGTTTAGATCATGTTTTTCCTTTGTGGGCCTAAGGGCGCTTATCTGGGTATCTCTTCATTTTATCTCCAAGTATGGGGTGATTTTGGTTCTGAAATTGATGAGTTCCGTCAGAGATTTATTCAGCCATTTGGGGATTTGAATCTGAATTTATTTGGCCCATCTTAGTCCAACATCTGAACCATCAATGGTTCAGTAATGGACCATCAGAGTGACCCCTTGTGGCCAGGGTTTAAAAAAAAATCATTTTCAGGATTCAAGATACAATGAAAGTGTGGTGGTCTTCAGCAGGTTCTGACCAGTTTTGGAGAACCGGTAGTGGAAATTTTGAGTAGTTTGGAGAACTGGCAAATACCACCTCTGACCTCTAGACCCATCTATTCTCCGCCTCCTGAGTCCCAGCTGATCGGCTGGGTCTTCTTTGGCTGCCCTGCACAGGAGAACAGAGCTGGAAAGCAGGTTAGTGGGGTGGAGAGGGAATGGAGATTTTGCAGTAACCTTTCCCTGCCATGCCCACCAAGCCACGCCCACCAAGCCACGCCCACAAAACCGGTAGTAAAAAAATTTGAATCCCACCACTGGGAGAAGCATTTCCATATCCTATTTAGAAGAGAGGAAATGAAAGTGGAAGGGAGCTTGAAGATCATCTATACCAGCCCTCCATTCAGGGCTAAATCTACAATGCAGAATTCAGTTATAGCTATCATAAGAGATCAATATCCCCCTATGTTTAAATACTGGCAGGATAGGATAAGCCACTTTCTATACAGGAAATTATCCCAGTCGATCCTTTGCACTTGCTGTAACCTTTCCGGATAACTGGAAGGCCCACATTTATCCCCCGATTTAATGCTTCTCACTCACATGCTTTTTTTGTGAGTGGGTTGGGGGTGCTTTTATGCATGTGTTGGGAAGAAGTCGCCTTTCTTGGTACTCAACTATTGCAACATGATTTAATAAGAAAAGTACTGGCAGAAACTATGCACATTATGGCAGTGGAGATTAACGTGCACTTCTGGTATGCTGTTATATAATGTTGGGGAAGTAAAAGCTACTCTATCCATTGGCAAAAGGGAAAGGTGACAGGTTATATATACCTGTCATACATGCTTGTCCAACAAGCATGTTAAAAAGACCGGTTAGAGAGGTGATATGATAGCAGGGTTCCAATATTTGAGGGGCTGCCACAAAGAAGAGAATTTATTTTCCAAAGCAACAGAGGGCAGGACAAGAAGCAATGGGTGGAAACTAATCAAGGAGAGAAGCAACTTAGAACTAAGGAGAAATTTCCTGATCGCTAGAACAATTAATCAGTGGAACAACTGGCCTCCAGAAATCGTGAGTGCTCCAACACTGGAAGTTTTTGAGAAAAGACTGGACAGCGACTTGTCTGGAATGGGATAGAGACCTCCAAAGTTCCTTCCAACTCTGATTATGATGTTCTTTGTAACTTTAAGACTTCAACTCCCCAAATTCCCCACCTGCCATATAAGTCTTAAAGTTGCCAACATTGAACACTCTTGGTTTATACTTTGATTCTGTATCCATCAGTTTATCGACTTGGCTTATTGATCAATCAGTGTGATTATCCACTCAGATTGGATGCAGAATGTAAATACGCTTTGAAAGTGGAAGAGGAGGCCTAAAACATCTTTAATAATTTTTTATTTGCTCTAGTTGCAATTTGAGAAAGGGTCTTGAAGGCAAAAAGTTTGCCATGTATCACATCAGAATATGGATCTATACAACTCATGTCCGAGTGAACATGATTTCTGGCTGTGATGGAAAATGATTTATTCTTCTGAAAAGCAATGTTTGGGGAAAGTTAGCCAACTCAAGAGGCTGAAAGATGCTTGTAAGAATGAACTACTGAGTGTCAACACTAGCATAGTCTTATATCTTATCCCTGATTATTAGAAACTATAGTACTTTGCATGTAATCTATATACATTACAGAACAGATGGTCCTCAGCTTATGACCACAACTGGGACTAGAATTTGTTTCTAAGCAAGGCAGTAGTTAAGTGAGTCAAACCTGATTTTATGACCTATTTCCAAAGTCGTTAAGCAAATCACTGCAGTTGTTAGGTAAATCATTGTTGGGTGAGTCTGACTTTCTCCATTGTCTTTGCTTGTCTGAAGGTCACAGATCATGCTCACTAGATCTGGGATGCTACAATCACACACACACAC